AGAGAGAGAGAGAGAGAGAGAGAGAGAGAGAGAGAGAGAGAGAGAGAGAGAGAAATCCCAGAAGTATTAGTTAGTGGTAAGTTGGAAGAAAGAGAGAAAGAACGAAGAGAGGGTAGGAGAATTTATTCCATTTTAAAGAACACGTTAACAAAACTTTTTATTCCCGCTTAGCTTATATATATGTATAAACCCCGTAAGAATAATGCGCACCGAAGCTAAGTTCGTGAAAGTCTACATTCCTCTATGTTCAATTCTTAAGCACAGAAACCCCGAAGGCGATTAGCAGAATATATATCGCTACAGTTTTAATGGCATCTAGAAACAATAAATGCAGAGCGTATACTACGATATATCCATAAAAATTATAGCACTTTCGAAAAGTACTTGCCGCAAAACTGTTATATTTGTAGTGTCTGTATCTTATTACAAGTGAATCGTTCCACATTGAAAGTTACGACAGTGAAAATTTATGACTTTTCTTTTTTATTGAAAATTCCAATCATAAAAACATTAAAAATTTTCGAGTAAAACGTAATAAAATATTTTTTTCAATATAGTGCGTGCATAAATCGATGTGTTTCAATTTTGATAAAAACGACAAAAACGTCGTTCTATTTTTTCAATAATACAAATTTTCTTTTAATTTAAAAAAAAATGTCAAATTTTGTAGACTATGAAGTATGAAATATTGTCGATATGCTTTCAGGTACAAAGTGGAGGTGGCCGGTAAGTCTTTACCGGTATTGACAAACCTCGACAAGGGTCGGTACGGGGTGCTGATTTTCGAGAATCTAAACAAGTACCTGCAGATGGACAAATGGAATCGTGAGCTACTCGACAAATATTGCAGGGAATATTCAGTTGGCATCGTGGGTTTTGCTCCTCCAGGAGAAGAGAGTCTCGTTGGTGCTCAGCTGAAGGGCTTTCCACTTTTTATACATACTAATCTTAGATTGAAGGTTAGTCTTCTAACATTAGATATTCAAACTCTACTCTCAGACATTTATCAAAATTATTTATAACTATATATATTTTATTTGTTTTATTAAAATTTTATATTCTTATGCGCATACTACATTTTTTTTGTATAAGATTACTTAATTATTTAATATATTTTATATATTCTTGTGTACATCACATTTTTTGTAAATTTTTTTATAATTCAATTTAATATTATAACTTATTTAAAATTGTCACGCACAGAAACAAATTGTAATGATTGAAATATAAAGATATCATTGATATTTTTATTGTCACAAACGATGCCTATGATTAATGGGATTATTTAAAACAGCCATGATGATAGAAAATCTGTGATAATTTCTATGGTTGCAATCAAATTTGTATCGCGAAAAGTGAGATATCAAAACAAGGAAAAAACCCTCGTAAAAAAAGAAGCAGTAAAAACTGTAGTCCCTACAGCAATAGTACTGGTTGTGACAATGAAATAATCGATGTTACCTATATGTTTCGAGAATATTGCATATTTGTGTTAATTTATAGCATATATTTTTTAATTATTTTATAATGATTAATTATTGGATATCCAATTTCGTGATATCAACTATCTGCAACTTTTTATAGCCATAATGTTCGTAATGGGGAAGGGAAGGGGGGTTAAGTTACAATCTTCTTAAAACTTTAGAGCGTACTTCGACAACGCGTGACATATCTCATGAATAATAATTATACTATTCAGAAAAAGGGGCGACACTGTTCATGATGTTTATATTCATTGAGCACGAAATATGTTACTACCCTTTAAATAACCACAAAGCGATTTTATTACAAGCGATTTTCTCATTTTACTACAAAGCATTTTTTCGACATATTTAAATGAACATTTAGATTAATTTTATTTCTGGTATATAAATTATATAAAATCGAAATTATTTTGAGCACGCAGAATGCGATCTAAACTTGGAATATTTAAAATAATAATTTTCTGGATTTTCAATTCAACTCTCTTTTTTACAGCTTATTAATATATCCCATGAATTTTTAAATAATTTTCGTGTAATCATTATTGCATTTCGCATATTTTGTAGGAAATATTATTGCCCGTAATATTCTGAATATAAAATCGCGCAGCCTGAACAATTCTCTTTTAACAAAGCGCCAAAGCGCGTGTGATGCCTCCGAAAATTTGATTTTCCCAAAAGCGAGGAAATCTGGCACGACGAGCGGGAGTGGAACTTTTGTGCGAGCCGTATAGAATCAGGTCGCTCTTTCTTCCCTCAGGATGCTCAGCTGAATGCGGCGTCTCCCATTCTTCGATTAACCAGATCGGGAGAAACGGCCTGGGGACCACTTCCTGGCGGCGACTGGACTATTTTTCAGGCCAATCACAGCACCTACGAGCCACTCGCTTGGGCGTATCGAGACAGCCTCGACTATCCGGCCAACAAAAGTCCCCTAGCTACCGTCATCCAGGTGAGCTGTGCACTTTATTTGCTGGACATTCCAGTCACGTATCTCTTCCCGGACAACTCGGACGACTGCGGAATTAATGCACCGACTCACGCGCCCATACCTATTACAGTTCGGCGACGGGGACCGTTTAAATCATTTTCTCTTCTCTCTCGCGTATTGGACCTGACACGCTGCTTGCGTTAGAAATCCGTCGATGTAATAGATGCTCTTTGACTAAGTGTATAATAAGAATGAGTGGGTGCTTTCACTACGAATATCGAGGAAGTTATATAGAATCCGTGTCGTGTATCAAGCCAAAGTTATACTCGTATTATATGAACGCTAGCTTTGAACCCCCGGTCCTCATTATACATAAAGCTTCGAGCGTGTCCCTTTTGGGAATCTCTTATTAACTCACGCAGCTTCGTGTGCGCTTGGCTTATCTTCTACAAAGATAATATTGAAAAACAAGAACGTACGATATTTCCGCGGAATGATCTTCGTTCTGAAAGAGTGCACGGAACCAGAACCCCGTGGAGATGGTAGGAAAGGTATGACGATAGGAAAGAAGAAATACATGAACACTCTCTGTGTGTGTAGTTGCACTCGACATTTATATTCGTACGGATACGTTTGGGAAAACAAAATCCCTTCTTGTTCACTGGAAACCCGCGAGTCTCACGAGAGCTCGTTTTATTACCACAGGTATCGCGAATGTACTGATTTGAGTGTTCTTGATCCTTATGGAACGAGATACAAGGACTGCGATAATGTGTAACGGTCCTGGTCTACCACTGATAACAAGCTCAGAGTAATCGCCATGAGGAAATTACGCGATTCTAAGTCGTATTATACGCGCACTTATTTTTCTTGCACGAGACGAAAGAGCTCTTGGTTCGGTTTTCAAAAGGTGCTTCTCTCTCTCAAAATTTCACGCTGAAAAAAAGTCTGCCTGAAACGCGAAATTTCCCCGATGCGCCACTTCGCTTTGCGGTTGCGTGTAACGAAGGAAAGAAAAGAAGAAAGGCGTCTGGGCGAGAAACAAGAAGCTGAGTGGCTGTGTTCCGCCATTCGTGAGGGATAGAACAAAAGGAAGGTCTTGGAACAATACGCACAGTGTGATTTCATCCCGCGCTCGGTATGAGTGTTTCTGCCGAGAAAAAGAGTCCTCTACGAGTTCTCTTCGAACATTGCACGATAAGAGGACTCGTCCTCCTCTTATATTAACCCTAGTCGATGTGATAAGGACTTATGTATTCCCAGCAGACAATAATTGTCAGAAATATTGCTTTAATTTTTTTCATCGTCTGACAAGAACATTTCCGAATCGTCGGAAATGTTCTTCATCGATTTCGAGAAGCTTTGGATATGTTGTGTAGAGCATCAAAATATTCTAGAATATTTTTAATCTGCTTGTCTCAAGGTTTAAGGATCGAAACAACCTTAAGATTAAGGATTAAAAAAATTAATGCGTGCGATCCAAGTTTGATTCCCGACTGAGGTAATATTTTTCGCGATAAAATTATTAACAGTTTTTCAAATTATTATTAACATCAAATTATGAATATTTTTATTAAATGCTTATTATTTTTGGCATCAAAAATTATTAAATTATTTGCCATATTATTGCTCGTGCAATTTAATATGTGATATTACTATTCTGTTTCTGTACAAGAATGCATTTCAAGTTCGGAAAAACAATTCGGTGCGCGGTTTGTAGAATTACAAATGTATTTACGCTAAATAATTAAAGTGTTTAATCTGCTTCGACCGAAAATAGAAATTCTTCATACTTAATTAGCTATTCTCTTTTCGGTCCTATTTCAAATTATAATTGTAAAAAATTAACATTTTCAGAAAATATGAATATACTATTACGAATTAAATACAAAATTTCTGTATAAATTTTTTTATACCTCATAGCTTCGATGGTATTCGCTGAAAACAAAAAAAATCTGTTATTTCGAGAGATTGTTTTACCCTCTAAATTTTGAGATAAAAAATATAAATTGTTTAATATCTTTTTTCAACTCTCTGTAACGTATCTAAAGCCCATCAAAATTGGAGAGGGACAGTTTCAACGAATCACTTGTTAGTGCTAGAAGATCATTATTTATATTCTTAAAAATTTGGGTATGGATTTATAATAATATAATTCGCGGTGTTATATAATTTTCACCATGTTTATGGTATATGTATATGAGAGTTATCTTTTCTTTGTTTCACGAGCTCACTTGTTTTTCTCACTCGCAGGGATCTGCACTCAAGCGATATTCTACTTTCTCACTTCATATAAATACCAACATGGTGAAAATTATTTTAACACCGAATAATACTAAATGTGTACCATTCACACGCATACTTTTAAAGTACGTGCTACGCTAGCACAACTCAGATATACAATATAGATCACATGGAAGCATTATAAACCCGAATTTTGAATAAAAAAGCCTTGGGCGAAGAGCCACGCTCAAGAGTAAAGTACCCTTAATATCGGTGTGTCGGCGTATTTAACGGTTGTGCTGAGTTGTGCTACGCTAGCACAACTCAGATATACAGTATAGATCACATAGAAGCATTATAAACCCGAATATCGAAAAAAAAGTGTGCGTGAAGTTAGCACCGCCATTTTGTTTAATCGGAAAAATAAACATTGTGCTGAGTTGTGCTCGCTTTGTGCCACATTGTGCCGCAAGAATTAATAACATAAATAAAAAAACAAAGCGTTAAATTGAAAAAATCGTTTTTTTCGCCAGCACCGCCATTTTGTTTAATCGGCAAAATAAACATTGTGCTGAGTTGTGCTCGATTTGTGCTACGGTAGCACAACTCAGATATACAGTATCGATCACATGGAAGCACTACAAACCCGATTTATGGGCAAAAAACCGAACACGGAGGGAAAAACTATTTTTAGTCATAACTTTTGGTGTCATGAAAGAACGGCTGAAATCTGTGTGGCACAATGTAGCACAAATCGAGCACAACTCAGCACAATGTTTATTTTGCCGATTAAACAAAATGGCGGTGCTGGCGAAAAAACGTTTTTTTCATTTTAACGCTTTGTTTTTTTATTTATGTCATTAATTCTTGCGGCACAAATCTAGCACAATTTATCTCTATTTTTTTTTTACAAAATGTTAGTGCTAACTTCTTGCACATAAAATTATAACAAAATTTTAGTCTTTGTTTTATTTATACTATTATTCGTAGATATATTTCTATCCAAGATGTTTCTTTTTATCTATTTTTTTTTCCTTCATAAATATGGGAATTATATGTGATTTCATCAAGAATGACCTCTTTCCATTGTCTCTTTAATTAATCCTGTATTAATAGAAATCGCGAATGTGTACGTAACTTTCTCATTCGCTTCCCTACATTTTTCCCTTCTGCCGTTTCTCTCGTCGTGGCGATTCTTCCTGCTCTGCCAGGGACGGTGCCGGAAAACGAAAACAAATGTGGAATTTCCGCGATACGGCTGGTGGTCACGTACACGGAGACGAGAGGACGAGAAAAAGAGGGAAAGAAAGAGAGAATGGACGAATACACGAGAAAGAGAAAGAGAGAGAAAGAGAGAAAAAAAAAAGAGAGGAAACGTAGAAAGGATCCGCAGTTGGTAGAGGTAAACTGAAACAATTCGTAAAGCCGTCCCGACCGGCGTTTACATTCGTGCAGGAATTCGCAACTGCAAGATTCCGGACGTAACGGACGTGGATAAGAGAGACAGAGAAAGAGTGGTAGGACAAACTGTAGTATGCGAAAAACGCCAGGACGCGCAAACGTCTGAAGGAGGCGCCGAATTGTAGATGATATGAAGGAAACAGTGTTCATCGGGCGGACACACGCGACGAGATATTCGTCTGATGTAACGAAGAGCGCGAATACACGCTGATACACATGCTGTATTGTCGATGTTTTGCGCGTTCCATTCCGGCGCGCGACGTTTTTCCATCCACCCGGAATGCATATCTCACACTCAACTGTTTTGTCTCTGTATACCAGCGAGAGCTTATGAGATATGTGAGGGGCTTTTTGTTAACTTTTCCTGTCTCTGTGATACCAATTGACGGTGCAGCTAGTTTATTTGTATGTCGATATGACTGATTTAAAAATAAACGAAAAAATATATCTTGAATTTTTTATATTTACACACTAGGTCTGTTTTTTTTATCCCTACCCTGAACTTTCTTGCTTTCATCAAATATTAAACATGATGTATATCTATTTCATTTTAAGTTATAAACAGTTCTAAAAGCATATACTAGTTCAGCTACAGAAAACATACCTATTCAAATCTCGAATTCTTATTTTGCATTTACAATTTACATATTATTTTTTCCCCCTCCTCATTCTTTTTTTTCTTTTTAATAAAACCATCTTTATTTAAAAAATTCGCTGGTATTATGCAAAGCTATCTATAAGAAAATCTGGTCAATAATCGAGCTAAATAAAGGATGTAAAACTTTAATTAAGACATCTTTATTAAACCTTTGATTTCCATATATGTATTTTTTAATGAATTAATTTATTTATATTTATATTAATACAAAGTATTCTGCATTTTTGTTCTTAAATTTAATCCTCATTCTATCGCCTCAATTTAGTCTGTACTCTGCAGTAGTGATAATATTTTATTTTCAAAATTAAAATTCGATTTATTTGAAACAAAATTTTACCAGTGATGATGAAGCAACCTCTGCAGAGAGTGCAATTAATCTATTTTGAACAAAAATTCAAAATATTTTTTTAGTGGTATGGAATTAATTTATTGTTCTAGAAAATGTGTTAAAATAAAGGATGATTGTATGGAAAAAAAATGAAAATATTTTATTAAATTTTGTTCACGTATATGTTAACACTAAAACGAGACCGAAAAATAATTCTTTTTTTAATTAAGTAAAGAAATTTGTTCATAAATAGTTTGTAAATAGATGAGTATAAAAAAACCACAGAAGTCCACCGCGATGATTCCTACTATTCGTTATACTCGAAACATGTTTCACATTCGTGATGATTAAAAAATATTTTGACAGACTTTTGCTCATCTCTGTCGCGTCGACAGAAACGTTTGATCTATTCATCATCAGGGTAGACCAACCCTCGAAAGAAATAAATTGGTGGTTCCAATGGTAGCAAATGAAGCGAGTCGCGCAGTCGCTCATTAATCGAATGAGCCCACGGCTGATTGGCTCCTGATTTAATCACCTGGCTACCTGTACGATCCGCGTATCTATCTCGATGCCCACCCTCTCGCACGGACGGGATTATCCGTGAGATTATTATTGTTGTTTACTGCTAACAAGCCCGGTTCATGGCCGAAGCTGTGGAGTTGCTGGAGAGTTTCCGTCGAACAATGCAATTAACACGTCGGACATGGCCGATTACTCGCCCTACTCTACCGTACTCCATTGAGAGAAAAATAACGATGCTCGTTAACGCGCGATGATTAGGTCGGCCGACTGTGTGCGTATATATCCGAAATCAGTGCACGTCTATGTCGAAACTAAAACGCCAACTAAGATCAATAACCGCTCCGATAGAAGAAATTGGGCTAAATAAATAATTGCGTTATTCGACACTAATTGTATTATGAGATACCCAACTCTATTTATACACATACGCGTGATTATACAATAGTTATTTACGATGCAGCACGAAGTACACAATTCCGAGTCACAAATTATATACATACATTCAACGCGGTAAAAGTAGATTTATTAGATTATTATACATGATTTTAGATTTAAATATATGTTATTTGAAATAAAAAAGAAGCATTAGTTTATAAAATATATTTATTTTCAGGATCATGGCAGATATGACGGAATTCAAAGAGTTCTCTTCGGTGGTGGCCTACGGTTTTGGTTGCACAAATTACTGCTGCTGGACTCGTTATCCTACTTATCACATGGGCAATTGAGTCTCAGTTTAAATCGTATGATCCTGGTGGACGTTGACGATATATTCGTCGGCGAGAAAGGCACCAGACTGAGGAAAGATGACGTAATGGCGTTGTTAGCCACTCAGCAGAGAATTCAAGCTCTGGTGCCGGGGTTCAAATTTAATTTGGGGTTTTCCGGGAAATATTTTCATCACGGGACAGCGGAGGAGAATTTGGGGGACGACATGCTTTTGGAGAACGTAGACAGGTACAGTAAATCCGAAAATTAATCGCGTGAAAGTGATAAATTCGGTGAATATTACATTACGTTAGAAGTAGAGATATATCTAAAGTATATATTATTAAATACGGTCAACAGAATATATAATGTTATTGTATCATACAAATTGAAATATTTGTATAGTTCTAAAAGCAATTTAATTAATTAGAATTACACAGTGGTGACTACAACAATTATGTAATTTATTATTATATTATAGTGAGTGTACATATATAGAGTGCATAATACAAACCATACACACTAAATTTATGGTCACGTCAACATCGTAGTATATTTTATCGTATAATGTCACGCAACAGTTTGTTATAATGCCGCCATAATCGCCTACGACAAAACGTTACAATGTTTCACTTACTATGATCGCAGTTGATTGTGACTGTTGAGCTAAAAATACAAAGGATATTTTCATGTGCTTTGAAAAGACGTTTTCTTATGCTATCGTCGATATATTCAATGAAAATACGTATACTTGTTATATCTCAAAAATTTGCGATGTTTTTCAGATTTACGTGGTTTTCCCACATGTGGAATCATCAACAACCGCATCTTTACGAGAATGTAACTCATCTACAATTGGACATGGCACTGAACAAGCAATTCGCAAAGGATCACGGTATACCGACCGGAAGCGGATACAGCGTAAGTCCACATCACTCCGGCGTTTACCCGGTCCACGAAGGCCTCTATGAAGCATGGAAGCGAGTATGGAACATCAAGGTCACGAGTACCGAAGAATATCCGCACCTGAGGCCGGCTCGTTTGAGACGCGGTTTTATTCATCGTAATATAATGGTACGAATCTAGAAGTCACGAATTTAGCCACAGTTATTGAATTTTTTTAAAGCGAGCATTCCCAACAGAAAAACTAATATGATGTGCGAGTTATATACACAAATGTTTATTGAAAATAACGTATCGATCGTGCAATATTTCGGTTGAACACCGCGGTATATTGCAGTTTTCGAAATACGAAAATCAGGCTTTTATTGCTCGCTAATTTACATGAATATTAAACACGTAATCAATCGTAAAATTCCATTAATAACTAATTTGGTATTTATTTTATCAATGGATAGTGAAATGAGGTATAAGGGGCTGTATTATTTTATCGATGCGGTATATAACTCGAGTCTTGTATGCAAAATTAAATTTTTATTGCCAAAATAAATATTTTGTATATATATTTTTAATTTTATATTAAATCCTCTGAAGTATACAAATTATTCAATGATACATATTACCGAATAAAAACCTCTTCTTTATGTATTTCAAGGTTTTACCGAGGCAGACCTGTGGTCTTTTTACTCACACAATTTTTATCGAGAGGTATCCAGGTGGAAGGGAAAAGCTGGACGAGTCAATACAGGGCGGGGAACTTTTCCAAACGATCGTATATAATCCAGTGAGTAAATCAGCCGTTATAAAATCAATCTTTGCCAGGCTTTGATCTTTCGTATTATATAGGCAATTCACTTTTAATAGCTATTTATCTGTAACAAATTGATGATTTTCGTCATTAATTATTTCTATGACTTGATATATCTTTATTTTTAGATTTTTAATATGATTAAAATATATATAGATATAAAATTATTTTATATCTCATACTGTAATAATATATGCAAGCATAAAATAATCTTAATTGTGTATTGCTTTTTCCAGATAAATATTTTTATGACGCATATGTCGAATTATGGAAACGATCGGCTGGCGTTGTACACTTTCGAATCAGTTATAAAATTCATTCAGTGTTGGACGAATTTAAGGCTATCTAGTGCACCATCACTTCAGCTTGGAGAACGTTATTTTCAATTATATCCCGAGGAAGCCGATCCAGTGTGGGGAGTAAGTGAAATGAATATTCTATAATTTTGATTATGCTTCTATAATACTATTATAATATTTTCTTTTTATAGAATCCATGCGATGATCAGAGGCATCAGAAGATCTGGTCTCGTAATAAAACTTGCGATCAGTTACCACGATTTCTAGTAATCGGACCTCAAAAGACTGGTACTACGGCATTGTATACATTCCTGTCCATTCATCCAGCAATAAGCAGCAATTTACCAAGCCCCGATACGTTTGAAGAGATACAGTTTTTCAATGGAAAAAATTATTACAAAGGTCTTGATTGGTAAGTAATCAGAATCAATTTTTTTTCAATTTTTTCCTCAAATAAAAGTTTAGAGAATAAATTAAAATGGAGCACCCTGTATAAAGCAGATTGTATAAGAAACGGTTACATGACTTATTACTTTTACAGGTACATGAGCTTCTTTCCAGCATCAAAAAATGAGAGTTCTCGATATCTCTTTGAAAAATCTGCTACTTATTTTGACGGAGAATTAGTACCGCGTAGAGCCCATGCGCTTTTGCCAAGAGCTAAGCTAATCACTATATTGCTCTCTCCAGCTAGACGTGCTTATTCATGGTACCAGCATACCAGAGTACACGGAGATCCGGTAGCGAACAATTACTCCTTCCATGCGGTCATCACAGCGAGTGATTCTGCTCCGAAACCTCTACGGGATCTTAGAAATAGGTACATAATTGAACATGAACAATTACATAAGATGTCACTTAATAATGTATGAATAGAGAAGACGTTATTTGTAACAGTAATTAGTTAAAAGTTAATGATTGTTAAAATAATGAGTGCCAGAAAACTTATATTTTCCTATAATTTCATATATGATTTAATTAACATAACAACAACATGCAATGTATATTTTAATTGTCATGAGTTTCAAGACGATATTGTATTCAATTACAGGTGTTTAAATCCTGGAAAGTACGCCCAACATTTAGAAAGATGGTTATCGTTCTATTTACCACAACAATTACACATTATCGATGGTGAACAATTACGACAAAACCCTGTGGAAACGCTGCACGAGTTGCAACGATTTCTAAAAATAACGCCCGCCTTCAATTATTCCTCACATTTGAGGTACGATCCGAAAAAGGGTTTCTTCTGTCAAGTAACTAACGAAGATCGTACTAAATGTCTCGGTAAAAGTAAAGGTCGCCAGTACCCACCAATGGAAGACAGATCGTACAAATTATTACAGGTAAAGTTCTTGTAATAAATTTTTCTTTTCGGTATATAAAATAATCGTATCTATTTACAAACTTGCTGTGTTTTTCGCAGAGATATTATTTGTCCCACAACACGGCTCTAGTGAAATTATTAAAGCGACTTGGGTCCAGAACGATTCCGCAATGGCTGAAGGAGGACCTTACCGATACTGTGATGACCTAGCAAACGCCAATCACATGAAACTTTAATGTTACTCGGCTGCTAGCTTCTGCTGTCAGCGAGATACATCGCTTGCTAATGGAAGATTTGTAAAATAATTGTACATTCAAAACTCCACTGGATTTCACATCTTTAAAGGAAGGACCATGCTGGCCTATTTCAGTGGACTGGCCTAATGTAATTGAAGACCCTACAAAAGCTAGTCATATAAGCGATTTTACGAAGTCCCAATTGTAATTGTCGATCACTATTAAGTTAATAATACTAGTTTTCCTATTATTATCTTTTTTATTTTATTATTTTTATTATTATATTAATTATTAATGTATTATTATTATTATATTATTATTATTATCATTATTATTATCATTATTATTATCATTATCATCGTTACCACGTCGTAGAAATCAAGGATATTAATCACTTACTAGTGCCATTATCCAGCAATAATTAGGCACCTTTCTATTTCCCCATGCATAAGTTGAACAAAAAGCCGATCAATATATGTATATCAATCAAAATTATGTAAAAAAAAGATATATCTGTTTTTATGACGTAAGAAAAGATTTCGTATATATCAAGAAAGATGTCCATGATAGTAGAAATTTATAAAATATCTAATGCTGAGCATAAATGAATTTTTACTATTAACACGATACGCGTGTTGTAACGAATGATATTGAAGAGTATCTTTTCGGCAAAATGTAATATTTTAAAAAGTTAAAGTTCACTTTTCTTAATACCAGACTGTCCAAATCATATTGTTTTGAGAAATATATATTCTTCATGCATAAGGATTATCGAAGAATTGTGCTGTCAGAGATTTTTTATTCAGACAGTTCATCGATCGTTCTTTTTGCACTAATCATCGGATCGTCCATGCGAGCATAAGATTTCGGGAGTTTGAGAGCTTTTTCTCTTGAGCCCACCTCTTTCGGAGATACAGTGTATATTAATTCTCGTTACATATTTAAGATCGATGACGATGACAAGAAATCTATGTATATTTTGACAATACTATTCTTGGTATCCACGGTGGAAAGGCCAACAAAAGATGTGTGATCATGTCCGTTTGTACATTGATGTAACGCATTATTTTGATGTTAATGTAGGTGTATTATAAAAAAAAAAAAATAGAGTGAAAACTTGAAACGGACAATTTAGGTATATTCAAGATGAGTTTGGAAATTCGTCGATCTCAAATGCGTTGGCGAACATAAAACATCCATTTGTGCAATAATCAACACTATCAAAGAGTTATTTGGTGCATTATGCAAATTACCCGCTGACAAGTTGTGTGAAATTCTGCATATATGAAAACATTTAAGATTTGTCACAATTATCACGAATCGCATACAGTGATATATCGTGCATTTGATGAATGTTGTAAAAAGTAAAAATAGAATCTTATTTTTCAGCGGGTAAGTCCAAATAATTAATTATACAGTGGTTTTTCGAAATTGTTTTTAAGTCTTATATACTTTTCAAGTCCAATATATACAGAATTTTTATTGTGTGACTACTTTGGAAATGATATTAGTATTATACAATATTTATTTTACTTTAAAAGAATATACATCGAATGGACCTAAGATTTCATTGGTCAAAAGAGCAATGGAATCTGATTATTGTATACGTATCTAATTATTGTATATTTTTTTTATATTTATTTGTCACTTTATACGTATATATAATATCATCTCCAATAATGTAAACTACATGTACAAATTTTTAATAATACTGATTGTATTTGTGACCATATCTAATTGTACATTGTCACGAATTCATGAGATTTTAAGAATCTCATGGCAGATATCTGCATATAATATCTGCTTGTCTCACTTTTTCTATAGAAAAGTGTATGAATATCGTATGTATGGCTCGTTAGGAAAAACTCCAAAATGAGTAATATAAGATCAGGAAATACTTTTTTTTATTTGCAATGTTATTACTATATTAATTGTCTCGTATTGTGAATGTTTCTGATAATGCCATTACGTTGAGTGTTACATATGAAACAATATTATATTTAGACAGAACTTTTTGTTATGTTTGTACGACTTGTTTTCATTTTTATACTGCCGTTAAAACTATGCCATTGTAACGTTTAACAAATCGTGTACAAAGTTTATTGTTAGTCTTATAATGGTAGTTACTAATGATAATGGTAATATCAACTGATCTGTTTCGTCGAATCGTGCCATTTTGCCAATGTTGTATATATGATTATGATTATAATATAACGATCGGGTTTTTAGAGTCAATATTCCTAATTTGATTCAGTATGGCGGTAGCAACAAATGTCCGGATTGCTACTACCTGACAATAACCTGATGGCAGACAGAGATAAGTAATAAATCCCGTGGAATTTATCAGAACAAGATTATTGTCGCACATGTAAACAAAATTAGCGTTAACATTACCTCATCATTGATCTTCATTCTCTATTTATTTTTATTTATAAAGAATTATTTGATATTTTTCTATAATTATATCTTTTCTAAATTTTAAGCACCATGATTAAAATAAAAAGGTAATACAATTGCATACATTACCAACGTCTGAATGATCAGTTTTATAAATTAAAAATTATTTTCTTGTCTTATTTTGTATATATTATAATTGTCATCATAGCTTACTCTCTGTTAATTGCTACAAAATTTCGCGAGTGCACTTGTTTGCGTATAAACGCACAGAAATGGCAAGCATTTTGTAAATATTCTGTTCCAATATAGACTGCCCAGGGAAAGAAAATGCCATTGTTGTGCGAATAAACGAAACTGCGCGTAGGATGTGTGTACGACACTTCAATTATTTAACTTATGACTATTCTAATGTAAAATATTGTAATAATTGTACGAATAGTCTGTAAGTTCTAATAAAAGAAGCACCAAAAATCCTACAGTGGAATGTTTTGTAAATGCCAACATATTGAAGTGATACTATGCAATATATAATACATTTTTCTAGTACACATATTTTGAAAATTATACCTTTCTTAATTTTAATTTCACATGTTTTATTTACACTTCTTTTATACAATTCTCTTTGTTCTTTTCAGGTATACTTGTTTTGTCTTGCTATTTTATATGCATCAACATCTTAGAACTGAAATGATTTTAGAATGATTATATTAAAATAATTTAGATATACGATAATGAGAGAGAGAGAGAGAGAGAAAGAGAGAGAGAGAGAGAGAGAGAGAGAGAGATAGTCCAGCTTTTTCCTCTTGTAATATCTTGCAGTTCCAAGAAATTGATGTAGCTTCTTTGGTAACTTCGTTGTTTCGATATATATGAATATCTTTTCCGGACTTAAATCAAACCTGTTGTTATGGGTGATTACTTATAATATATTTGCGCTGTAAGTCAATGAGTCATTGTTTGTTGCAATATCTATGGATTCATTCAAGTCCGACGTCTTTGCAAAGATAGTATCATCGTCGCATGAATCGCTGGATGAAGAATCCAAGCGATTTGGTCCCAACACAACTTTCAAATCTTCTTTGACAAACTCATGATGTAAATTCATAAATTTTATGGTTCTTCGGAGCTGATAATTTGATTCGTTCAAATTCTTCCGATCTCCAGACGTGTTAAAGTATTCCGAGATTGGATCTTTGTCCCCAGCATCCCGATAATCGTCGATACTGAGTTGGACGCTATTTTTCTCGATTTCCAATTCATTTACAATCTCTTCATCTATTTCTTCAATAGGATCTAAAGTATATTTCTCTTTTCCAGGAAATCTTTTCCCTCCGATTTCTGAAAGATCCTTGCCAATTGATTCGCCGGTACCACCTCTATTTTCTATTAACGCCGGAATACTGCCAGATAAAGTATGCACTTGTCTCACTTTCTTCATTCTTGCTCCTATAAATACATTATTGCCATTATCAAGAAAATTGAAAATAATTTAATTTTTATATATTTCAAAGCCGGTAATATCTCATAATAGTTATAAACTCTACCTTTTTAATTATAATATTTAATGTATAATATATTTTTGTTTATCGATTATTGGACGATTATTAGTTGACGAAAAGTTATTAAGAAATATAGTAATTGAGTATATAAAACATGAGTATATAATATTTTTGATCAATAAATTGATACTGAATTGTTGAATTAAGATAGCGAAGAAAAATTTAAGTATTTTGGATTTCATAAATTTTACCGACCCGGTGTTGAAATTTTTGTAACGTTATCTTCAATTTTGACATTCACGTCCGGTTGGTTCCTAACGGTAGACCTTTCTTCTTCAAGCTTATTTATCTCTTCTTGATATTTCGAAAATCTGGGACCAATGCTCGGATGATGTTCCATGCTGGAGGTTGAGCTCAGGTAAAGGCAACCACTATTAGGAGAGAAAAGTTTTTGCAGAAACGATCTTGATGGAGCTTTGTCGACAGCAGCGTTGCCCTGAACATGATTCAGACATTCCGATCTATTACGGAGTATTCCGCAGCACTCCAGCATACCGAAGATCAGCAGCATTGCTGTGCCAACTAGGGCCAGTAATGCAGCCAAGGAGATTAATTGCCAGGAGAAATTCAATAATATCGTTATAGTATCCTCGTCTGTACGCATTGCGCAGAAGGGAGCAAGGATACTCCCAAGGATCGCGCAAATGAGATGTATGGCTACGACGTTGCAATAATCCTCCAAAGTGCTGTGAAAAATCCACGTGGTGACGAGATGGAACACAATGCCTCCCAGACAGCCCAACACGATAGCTATTTGCGGCGAATAATCATTTGGTGCAGCCGATATCGTTACCACGCCGGCGATCGTTCCCTGAATGCATCTCATTAACATCCAATGATCGTAAGTGTTACGGTCGAGGACGAAGTGTAGAGCCACGATTATCAATGTGCACGAGGACGCGGCCAGTAAATTGTTGACATATGCCTGCGATGAATCCCGTGCGAACATTCGATACTTGTCATGCTCATGCGAGCTCGTGCACAAACCCTGCAAATGTACGCAATTCTTTTTTTGCACGGAAAAAGAACGGTTTGTATATAGTGTTCACAAATTTACCTAAATACAGTTCTGAAAATCATTTTGCTAGATCATCAAAAATAATTATGTCAAGGATTTCTAGTGAAAAACAAAAAATATTCTTAACATACTTAATCTCTTATAGTAATTTTTTTGCAATATAAAAATAAAACAACATTAAGATTAAGCCCTTCTGTAAATCTTGTGTTTCATAGTATTGTTCCGCAGCTTTTTTATTAGGAATAAAACCTGCGCAATGACACTGCTACAATTACAATCATTAAGTTACAGAATAAGCCCTTAAATCAATAATTTCTTTTTTTTTTTTCTTGAATTAAATAAAGTTGTTTCATTTAATTTTATTGTCTTTAAAAACGAAAATAACAATATAAAGTTAAAGAATAATCCCAAAAATACACGTTTTTTAGTTGCGATAGCCTATGTATTTGTGGCAGATAAGAAAAAATATATTTCGGAAACTTTTTTTGCACAGAACTTCAATAAAAACAACTTTATCCTAAATATTTTTTTCGTATCTGCATTCGTTTTCAAGAAATTCAGCAAAACTTTCAGTAGTTTTACTCTTTTAAAAAAATTGATCAGCAGGGATGAAGGAGTCAGCTCTATGCCTGTCAAGATTTACAAAACTGTTGTCCATGATCATTTCGTTTTAGATTCAAGCATTTTCCGTTTAAAAGTAAAATATTTCTTCCTATACCAATTCTATTTTATGATAGATTGAAGAATAATACGATTGGACCCGAAAATATTTTCTAATATAGATGCAATTTTCGTAATGTGCTAGAGAAATTTAATTTTTTCCTCTAAAGCTTCACAACCATGGTTGCGTTCCGTTATTCACTGCAAGACTGAAAATCTATAATATACGTAACGCTAACTATAAATTTTCAGTATTTGCAGTGAATAACGGAACGCAGCCCATATAATATTAGATTATGTCAAAAACAAAGTATTTCTTATTCTATCAACTTTATTAATTTGATGATTCGCGTCCAGAGAGAGTAAGATATTTACTTGAAGCCCAGCGAAAATCAACATTAGCCCTCTGAAAACGTTCTGCGTGGAACCGGGGATGATGCTGGTGTCATCCAAATCTTTTATTCTAAACATTCTTCTGCCAAGAGCAACGCATCCGATCAGGCCTGAGAGTCCTCCGACGATGTGGATTACTGCTGCACCAGTTTGGTCTTTGAAGACCACCGTTTTTCCACCCAATTCGTTCTCCGCCATCCACCCCATCCACGCCCAATGGATGAGTAATGGTTGAATCAGGCCTGACAACAGGATACTCACCAGGAGGTATCCTGTTATGTGCATCCGACCTGCGACCGCGGTGGTGCAAATTGCCGATGCGATCGCCACCGCCTGCCATCCCATGATCGCCTCATTCTTGTCAATCGTTGGATCACCGATCCAATGACCCGCGCCGATCAGACCGGCGATGTCGCCGTTGTAGGCAACGAGGAAACCCGTTAGAAAGTACATAACGGTGACACAACATAAATCGACCGTATTTTGAAGAAGTATCAGGTTAACGTTGTTGATCGGCACGCTGCCGACCTGGACGAGAACAAAGCCGATGCGCAGCAGAATTGTCAGAACGAGGCGAATCAACGAGTTCCGGTGGATATGTGTGGTAGAGACAGCGGTATAGTTGCCGAATGTGTGAGGCTGAACAGCGTAATCGTAATAGTTTTCAGTGTAAAAATAGTCTCTAGTAACGGACGACATTCTTTCGCCTCTTGGAATTGGGTGTCTCTTCTCTTCTGTGCGCTGTCACGTTATCATATCGTTGTTTGTCATGATCGAGATACGCTTCAAGACTTGATACATTTTGCGTACAGAGGTGACGTCTCTATCGGGGTTAAAATGATTGACAGGAGACTGAATGAAACGAATAAAATTGCATGCACAGTTGTTTTATCGAATCGATTATTATTTTATCGAAAATTATAAAAATGACATTCAGCCTTCTATATATATCTATAGAAGTATATAAAAGTGCGTTTGGGTAGACACTATTTGTGTCATTCTATTTTTATCGTTTATTTGTTTATTAATAATAATGTCTCCCCGAATGCACGTATGGAAATTTTCTATGGCTGTGTTCCAAGATTGAAAATACTGAAAATCTATAGTGTACGTGGCGTATATTGTAGATTTCCAGACGGACAGTAATTTGGAACGCAATCTATATATAGAAGCCTCTGTGAGTGACATTAAAGCTGCATTCGGAAATACACACCGAGTGTCTTCAAGTATCATTCTGTCGTGTTTATTCACTGAATGTTAACAAGGATAAATTGATATCTGCAGGCAGTTAGTGTGTATTCCTAAACGCAGCCCAAATGTTCATTAAATAAAGAGTGTAAAGTTATTTAATATTAAGTTATTTAATTTTAGTATAAACATTAAAATCTTACAAGGGAACCCGATTATCCTCCTTCGATTTTGATGTGCTTTTAGTAAATTGTTCTATAAAGAAAAATAAGAGATACGTATTTTTTTTATAACGCGGCTGAATCACACGTTAAAGGGATGAAAACCTTCCATGAAAAAATCAATTTTTTCAGAGTAAAATTGTCGAAACCGTGAGAAATAAAAAAAGTTTTTAGAATAAAAATTGAATGGCTTCAATCGTACTTTATAACTATATTAGAAAAATTTATTTAATTATTTATTTATTGTATACTCCCATTCATATCCCTATTTTTAATATTTTTTTTTTACCTTTTTAACGTGCAACTCAGCAGATATAAAGAAAAAACATATATAACTTTTATTTGTGTCTATATAGAACTACATATTAAAAGCTCATCAAAATCGAAGATTTAGTTGTGTTCTCTTTTTTTTGTTAGTATAAACAGTCATCATATATATATATATATGAAATTAGTAAGATAAAAATCTCGCTAAACTCGGATAAGAATGCCTCGCGAAAACAGTAGATTTCCATTCACCGAAATATCTTAAGGAAAAAAAAGGATAATATCTAAATTAATTAATATAAAGAAATTTGTTTTGAAAAACTGTTAGAAGCAGTCCATAATAATAATCTATTGTAGTAGTATAATATTGTAAAAAATGATTTACGCAAATCGAAACACAGTGATGTATTATTTTTTCAGTTTCTAGCCGAAACTGAAATTCTAAATATCGAATATTTTTGGAAAGTTTTTCATTTTATCAAAATAGAAATAGAAAAATATAGAGTTTGTAACCGACGTGTCGGTCGGAAACTTTTTATTTAATAAAAAAGAATGAAAAACTTTCAAAAACAATATCTGATATTTATAGTTTCGACTATAGAACGTGAAGAAACATTACTGTAGTGCAGTATCAATTTACGTGGACTATTCCCGGACAACGTGAGAGCTCGCGTATGTATGCATATACGCACGTGACAACGGAGCACGTTGATTCCAAGAACAACGTTTCCACGGGCGACGACGTCTTCGCGGTCATCGTATCTGGGAGAACGATTCATCCGAATCGTGGTTCCAAATGTGCCGCTAACAGCAGCGTCAGCGCCGTTCGACCAATGCGCGCCGAGGACGGAACGGCGCGCATGTCACGTCGTCGGCCGCCGCAAGGTCGGGGTCTCGGGGGCCGCGCGCGCGATACCGCCTGTCCGCTGCGAACGGTAGTAGTCGCTCGTAGCCGGTTGTCGGTTCATTCTAGTCGCGTGACGCGGGTGGCAGGCGGGTGTTTGTTGTCCCGGTCGACTCGTGCGTGAGAGAAGAGCGAACAGCGAGTGATCACGCGAATCGGAACCTCGTCGAACGGTGCGCCTGATTCTTTTGACAGCGGCGACGAAATGGCAGCAGTATCGTTCCGGGCGATATTCGTTGTAAGGTGGTGTGAGATGAACCGCGTGCTAACCGCCACATCCTACCTGACCACGACGAGGCGATACCGAAAGGTGAGAGAGTGTTGACAATGCAGACAACGTAAAACGAGCGAACCGCACCTGGGCTAAGTTTAAATTCCTATATTTTTTGTTTCATTTGAGAGCTCGCACTCCCCAGGCATCGTTTTATGTCCTTGCATTCACCGAATGTTAAATAAGGATAAATAATATCTGAGGTGCGTTTGGGTGGGAATATGAACGCACCCTGCTTAACGGGTGACCTGCGGTGGCCCTACGGCGATTCCGCTCGATGGAAATCTCTATCCTCTCTCACTGTTTCTCTCGGAGTAGTCCGAGTATATTAATTCGGAGTAGCCATATAATACAAAGGATCGTGCGATGGAGATCGGCAATATATTGTCGGTTATTTCAAAGCCGGCGTGCCGTTGGTTTAATTTGAATACACACGCGTGCGGATTAGGTCAAATTAATGACTGATATTGCCTGGCTCAGGTGTCCACCCTCATGGCCCCCATCCTCGCAGCTGTTCGCAGCTCGCAGTCGCGATAGCTGCGATAATGTGTTACACGAAGTCCCCGAGAGCTTGCTTCTCCCACTCTCGTCCGTGCGAAGCGGACACTAGTTCCGACACGAGTCCCACCTTCCCAAGCCATTTGCGTGTACATACAATCGCATTCGCAGGCTCTTTATCATGCACGCACCTTCCGAAAGCACGCGATACCATTGGCGGTAGCGCGCCTCTCGATGCAAAACCTAGTTTTGCGGGAAAGCTCTATAATATTAATAAAACCGGTAAAGAGAGAGAGAGAGAGAGAGACAAGATCCCGGATTTGAACGGAATTAAACGTTTCTAATTATTCTTCATCCGTTTTTAATTCGTAGAATTGCAAAAGAAAGATGAAGAGTTAAGCTAAGATTAAAATTAAACTACATTGGTAGAAACGAATATAAAGTACTGTGGGAAAAATCATATTTTCTTCTATATTCTCTTTGTTCTTCTTTCGGAAATTGCTGTTCGCAGATTGGGTGAATATCTATATATTACTATAAAGTATGATTTTAATTTCAATATTGCACATACGTGCGTGTCACTCGACTTTGTACACCGTGAGAAAAATGTACTAAATTTTAATAAATATTTGTTTGAATAATAGTAGTTGGAAATATTTACTAAATGTATTTGTTTGGTACAAGAGAACTATTAATTTGACATAACTATTATTTTTATTTAATAAAAATTTATTTACTGTATAATATTTATTAAAATTTAGAGTATTTTTTTAGTGTAATGACTTTATATTATAATGTAACTTGTCGTAGAATTGATAATTAATAATTTCAAGAATAATATAAAAGCGAGGAACAAGTTTGTTATTTAATTACTTGTTTTCGTAGACGCACATGATCGCTTTGAATTAAAAGAATTATTATTTAAGAAGTCGAAATGAAAGGCCTATAATGGTCGAAGTTGGATCTTTCAGTGTGAATTAAATATATACTGTATATATTGTATGTACATTGCATATATATATATCATATTTGTAGCTTTATCAAACTGCGCGCCAAAATTTTTCCCGGACTTACAAGCGCAGCTAAACATGAGATAATGTTTTTGAAAAATTATTATTTAATTTTTAATTTACAAGAGATTCGCACTGATTCCATTGCGTTTGTGCATATTAATTTTAATTAATGATTCATAATTATGAATGTAGGAATGAAAGTAAACGGAGAGAGGCAGTTTACTTTTCCTTATTGAGAACAATTAGGACACATTTAAAAAACTGTTTCTAAATATTTATTGTACATCGATAATATCATAAATATTCAAATCATTTTGTGTTATGCACTTGCTTAGTTGGCTAATGTCTTCTTAATTCCTACGAGAAATATACGAGTAACTTACAAAATAAAAAATCCTCATGTTAATAAAATGTTATCATTCTTCTGATTACTGCACGCAAACGTGCGGTTACGAGATAAAAAGTAAATCATGCACGCATCCTAATGCGTGTGCGTCCACAGCGTTGCGCAGATGACATCTGCAGTGTGACAGCATTGATTATCATAATGCTTAATAATTATAGAAATTATAATTTTAACGGATTATATATAATTATAAAATGAAGTGAGATAAAATATTTCTGCAATTTCTATTTCTCATTATTCTAATACCGATATAGAAATATATTTTAATTATTTATATTTTGTTCTTAATATAACGTTAATATTCTTGTGTTTTTCCATTTTCTTTATTTATAGGAATTATAAAATACGCATTTACAAAATGAATACGATGAATTTAAACGTCAATAATATAGGTATTTATAATTACAATATGATTTTCAAGGTATTCTATAGCGCAGATTTGTTTAATTCGTGCTAAAAATGAAATGCAAATCTTGTTATTTTGAAACTAGAAAATGATTAAGATGTATATGAGAATTAATGAGAAAGATAGAATAATAATATGAATATTATATTATAAATATCGTCATTGTTTCATATTAAATTTTAATATAGATGTTAACTTCATATTAACATACAATTCAGTCTATTAAATCAGCATCCATATAGTCATTTATATTTAGCACGCTGTCAATCGATTTTTAACATTCTTTCTAGCTTAAAATAGATCGCCTTCGCAAACTGTCATTGAGCAAAATGCAAAAAACATGATGTTCGAAGTAAATAAACAGCTTTATATCCTACACAGAAGGAACGATTTTGCCGAAGTACCTAAAAATTTAGGTAAATACAGATCCGAATATAATTTTGTTGACCCATCAAAATAATTATATTTATTAGGATCTTTTTTATTATACTTATGACATCAGTTTACAACATCATTTTTACCATAATTATTATGCAGTTGGATGAAGATTGTTTATAATTTTTTAATTTTTTTATTTATTTAATTGAAGAATGTTTATATTTATTGTATTTATTTATTTATATTAAATTCTACATTTATACATTGAAAATGTCCCGATC